ATATATATATATATATATATATATATATATATATATATATATATTTTATTTTTTTTTTTTACAAATATTTTTCCTCCATTTTTTTACCAACCTTTCTATGGTTGGGTCAAAGGGACAATAGAACCAGGGGGAAAGCATCTTTGTCTGCAGTACCGTCTCATCTTATGAACTGCAGCTATTTGGCCTTAAATAAACACACAAAGTCTATAATTCGGTTAATTTGACCAATATTGAGCTCAGCTTTGGAGTGGTGGTAGTTGTCTTCCCCACACATACATGCGTTACCTGTCTATTTATTATTTGCTCTCATTGTAATCGTTTCATGAACTTCTCAGAGTGTTTGGAACAGAAATGACCAATATGAAGTGATGACATGTCGGCCTGGTGTATTTCTGTGTCAGGACCTCCTGGAGAAGGTGATGGTGTTGTCTCGTGCAGTGGAACACACTCATGGCTATTGTCCTGAGGCTTTTGGCATCCTGCTGGCTGAGAAGATGACCCAGTACGCTAACCTGCTGGCCTCACAAGGCTGTCTGTCCACTGCCATCACCTACCTGCCCAGCAACACCAACCTGGTATGTTACACAACCACAGTGGGCTAAGCCCAAACGTCAGGGCTGAGACTGTTGGCAACTAGTCAGAGACTCGAAATGTTCAACTGAATTCTAACTAAATGTGACCTGAGTGATCAAAGATGTCTTTTACTTATTTATCTATTATTTATTTATTTTACACTAAGCAAGCATGACGTGAGTCAGGTAATTTTCTTGTAGGACAGTACTTTATGTCATCACATTCATTTGTGGCCCACCATCCATAGCAGTTGCCCCCTCATTTATGATTGGGGACTGCCTAGAAAGGCAGCCACCTATTATTATCAACCTAAAAAAGGTTTCTTAACTTTATATCATACTCTTCCATCAAATGCAATGCGGCCCGAACATCAATGTGTACCCCCACTTATATCAAAACGGCTGTCTTGTGATGTGTGCTATCACTTTTTTTGGCGTTTCGAGTTATCGTGGCGACATAATTTGCAAAGATGCCATATTTCTCATTCAGAATGCCTGACAGAATGCAGCAGCCTCTAACTACCACAGTGAGGTCACATGACCTGTGGGGCAGCTCTGACTGAGTGGTTAGAGCAGTCGCCCTCCCAATGGGTGAGTTGGGGGTTGGATTTCACCAGCAGTCACATGCTGAAGTGTCCCTGGGCAAGACACTGAACCCCTCATTGCCTCCGATGTTTGTCCCATTGGTGGATGAATGTGATCTAAAGCTCTGATTATTCTTTGTACAAATCTAGTAGAGTGCTGTATGAATGGGTAAATGAGGCACAGATTGTGTTGTAAAGAAATTTTAGTGTCTTGATCAGATAGAAAGGAGATGTATAAGTACAATCCATTTACCATTTACATGATCTAGAGTGGAGAGGTCCCTGAACAAAACTCAGTAATTCATCAAACAAACTCTTCCTACTACTACATCTTTTAAGATACATATTATATATCAAGCAGTACGGTGGCAGAACTGGTAGAGCTGCTGCCTCTCAGCGAGCAGGTTACCCTGGTTCGAATCTAGGTCCAGCGGCATTTCTTGGTGGAGTTTGCATGTTCTCTCTGTGCATGCATGGGTTTTCTCCGGGTACTCTAGTTTCCTCCCACAGACCAAAAACATGCATGTTAGGCTGATTGGTGACTCTAAATTGTCCCTAGGTGAGAGAGAGTGTGAATGGTTGTTTCTCTTATGTGGCCCTGTGATGGACTGGAGACCTGTCCAGGGTGTACCCCGCCTCTCGCACAGTAACTGCTGGATATGGGCACCAGTGACCCCCGCGACCCGAAAAGGAAGAAGCGGGTAAAGCTAATGGATGGATGGATTATATATCAAAACGTAGGCATTTTTGTCGTCTTTCCACCAATACTTCTGGTTTGGCTCCTTAAGTATTTATTTAAATGGTAAATGGTCTGTACTTATATAGCGCCTTTCTATCTTATTTCAAGGTACTCAAAGCGCTTTACACTACAATCTGTGTCCTCATTTACCCATTCATACAGCACTCTACTAGATATCTACAAAGCTAATTGAACAAATCATTCTAATGAGACTAATCAGAGCTTTATCACATTCATACACTGATGGGATACACATCAGAGGCAATGAGGGGTTCAGTGTCTTGCCCAGGGACACTTCGACATGTAACTGCTGGTGGATTCGAACCCCCAACTCTTGCATTGGAGGACGACTGCTCTAACCACTCAGCCACAGCCGCCCCACCATTTAGAACTGATAAATTTTTGGAGCACTTTTGATTCAAGATGGCTGCCACAGCTACCTCAGCAAACACAAAATTGACTATAACTCAGTCATTCTTTGCGATATTGAGCTGAAATCTCGTGTGATGGTACCTGAAACAGCACATTCTGTATTCAAATTTAAAAATTCAAGATGACCATCAAAGCTAATTTCAAATGGCTATAACTCAGATGTTTTTAGAGCTACTCAGCTTAAATTTGCTGTATTGGTAGTTGAGAACAATCCCTAACAGTCTCTGACTGCAAATAAAAATATCCAAGAGCGCCACTTGAGCTAAAAAGGAAAAATATTAGAAATCAACCATTTTTTATTAACCTTTTATTTAACCAGGCAAATCCCATTGAGATCACAAATCTCTTTTGCAAGGGAGGTCTGGACCTGAAGGCAGACTAACATGCATGTTTTTGTTCTGTGGGAGGAAACCGGTGTACTCGGAAAAAACTCATGCAAACACGAGAAGAACATACAAACTCCACACAGAAAGACCCCAGGTCCAACCGGGGATTGAACCCAGGAGCTTTCTTTCTGTGACACAACAGTGCTAACCACTGAGCCATCGTGCTGCCATTTTTAGAGGTATTAAGCTGAAATTTGGTGTGGTGGTAGCTGAGAGCAATGAGTTGAGACCAAGTACTTGAAGTCCTGCACCTTTGTGACCTCTGATCCTTGTAGCCTCACTGTTCCACCGGCCTCCCTCTTATTCACACACATGTCCTTTGTCTTACTACGGTTGACTTTCATTCCTCTTCTTTCAAGTGCATCCTTCTACCTCTCCAAGTTCTCTTCCACCTTTTCCCTGTTTTCACCACTGATCACAATGTCATCTGCAAACATCATAGTCCACAGGGATTCCTGCCTGACCTCATCTGTTAGTCGGTCCATCACCAGATCAAACAAGAAGGGGCTCAGAGTCGATCCTTGATGCACTCCCACCTCCACCTTGAAGCTTTCTGTTACTCCTACAGCACATCTCACCACTGTCCTGCTGTCCTCGTACATGTCCTGTATCAGTCTAACATACTTCTCTGTCACTCCATATTTTCTCATGCAACACGACACCACCTCCCTCGACACTCTCTTGCTTTTTCTAAATCCAAAAAGACACAGAGCTCTTTCTGACCCTCTCTGTACTTCTTCAACAGATGGCATCTGTGGTGCTCTTTCTTGGCATGAAACCATACTGCTGCTCACAGTCACCTCTCATCTAAGTCTAGCTTCCACAACTCTCTCCGAGATCTTCATCGTGTTCACCCTCACTAATCTTTCCCACTTCCTGGTCCACAGATTTTACAAAGCTAATCTGAACAAATCATTATATAGAGAGAGATTAAACTGAAATGTTAATTTAGTATTACTTAAGTTACTTAGTTAGTTGGCAATAAAAGTTTCTTTTGAAATTTGGTTTTATTTCAAATTTTAGAAAGCATGTCTTTTATGTAGACAGATATTGTGAATCTCTTTTTACACATTTAAGTATTTAGTTCTATTACGTTGGGCTGTACATGTATTGTCTTGTGTCTCTGCCTGGCTGTAGGTGACTGTTCAGCAGCTCTTTGACCGCCTCAGTCAGGCTCTGGGACAGCAGGTACCGACCCACAAGGGTCAGCCTCAGCTGCCTGCCCGGCAGGCCCAGCATCAGTCCACTCTGGTTCAACCGGCTGTGGAGTCTCAGCCCACTGCAGCTGCTCATGTTCCTGGAGCTACACCTGGTTCTGCCTCAGCTCAGTACTTCCAGCCGGTATGTTCACCTCACCAGAGTCTTTTCTGTCCAGGGTTTAAATGACAACCAGCTGCTTGAAGATGAAACATCAAAGTTTCTAAATATTTGACTGTATCAATACATAGTTGAAGTACCTTTGAGAGTCTTGTGTTTGTGTGGTTTAAACCTGGGCTCTCTGATATCCGCAGGTTTTAAAGAGACAGTTCTGCTTATTCAAAGTGAGGGTGAGGACTTGCTGTTGGCTGGACTTGTCTCTGAGTAGCTATTCATGTTCTGTTCACTAAAAAATATCCTCAATTGCTGTCTAAAGTAGTTAACATATTGGCTGCTCATAACTGCTCAGGGTTCCTATGCAGTCTTGAAAAGTCTGGAATTTGCTTTTGGTATTTTCCAGGTATGAAAAAGTCTGGGAAGCAGATTGTGTCCAGACTTTACTTCTTTTAGAAGTCGCTAAGTTGGCAACACTGCAGCTGTGTCTGCTGTTGTGCAACAGCCTGTGTGGAAACATTGTGCTGCACATTGGTTCCTCTTCAAAAAAGGGCCTGCGTGTATGTGTGTGGGGTTTTAGCATGAGAAATACAAAATGTGCCATGTGCACGTTATGAAATGATGAAATACGTGTGTTTCACGGTCAATGCGTGAGACTTGAGAGGTTTATTTTATTTTTGATTTAGTTATTGATTTGCCCGGCCTATAAAACTCATAGATGGGCTACATTGAGACCGGTCAGGTCTGATCACATTGTTATGATCTTATGATGATTTGACCAGACCCGCACCACAGAGGAAACCCCGCCCCCCTCATTTGAATATAAGAACATGAAATAAAAAGCACTTAAAATGAAAAACGGGGTTAAAACAATGAAAGCCCCTGAAATATGTAAAGTAGCTTTACAAAATAAAAGTATCCCAAAATTAAACCCATTATTATATACAAACCGGATTCCAAAAAAGTTGGGACACTAAACAAATTGTGAATAAAAACTGAATGCAATGATGTGGAGATGGCAAATGTCAATATTTTATTCGTAATATAACATAGATGACAGATCAAAAGTTTAATTTGAGTAAATGTAACATTTTAAAGGAAAAATATGTTGATTCAAAATTTCACAGTGTCAACAAATCCCAAAAAAGTTGGGACAAGTAGCAATAAGTGGCTGGAAAAAGGAAATTGAACATATAACGAACAGCTGGAAGACCAATTAACACTAATTAGGTCAATTGACAACATGATTGGTATAAAAAGAGCTTCTCAGAGTGTCAGTGTCTCTCAGAAGCCAAGATGGTAAGAGGATCACCAATTCCACCATTGTTGCGCAGAAAGATAGTGCAGCAATACCAGAATGGTGTTACCCAGCGTAAAATAGCAAAGACTTTTAAGTTATCATCATCAACCGTGCATAACATCATTAAAAGATTCAGAGAATCTGGAACAATTGCTGTGCTTAAGGGTCAAGGCCGTAAAACTCTACTGGATGCTCGTGATCTCCGGGCCCTTAAACGTCACTGCACCTCAAACAGGAATGCCACTGTCAAGGAAATAACAGAATGGGCTCAAGAATACTTCCAGAAAGCATTGTCAGTGAGCACAATCCACCGTGCCATCCGCCGTTGCCAGCTGAAACTCTACAGTGCAAAGAGAAAGCCATTTCTAAGCAAGTTCCACAAGCTCAGACGTTTGCACTGGGCCAGGGGTCATTTAAAATGGAGTGTGGCAAAATGGAAGACTGTTCTGTGGTCAGATGAGTCATGATTTGAAGTTCTTTATGGAACATTGGGACGCCATGTCATCCGGACCAGAGAGGACAAGGATAGCCCAAGTTGTTATCAACGCTCCGTTCAGAAGCCTGCATCACTGATGGTATGGGGTTGCATGAGCGCTTGTGGCATGGGCAGCTTGCATGTCTGGAAAGGCACCATTAATGAAGAGAACCATGTTCAGGTTCTAGAACAACATATGCTCCCATCTAGACGTCATCTCTTTCAGGGAAGACCCTGCATTTTTCAACACGATAATGCCAGACCACATTCTGCAGCAATCACAACATCATGGCTACGTAGGAGAAGGATCCGGGTACTGACATGGCCAGCCTGCAGTCCAGATCTTTCACCTATAGAGAACATTTGGCGCATCATAAAGAGGAAGGTGCGACAAAGAAGGCTCAAGACGATTGAACAGTTAGAGGCCTGTATTAGACATGAATGGGAGAGCATTCCTATTTCTAAACTTGAGAAACTGGTCTCGTCTGTCCCCAGACGTTTGAGTGTTGTAAGAAGAAGGGGGGATGCCACACAGTGGTAAAAATGGACTTGTCCCAACTTTTTTGGGATTTGTTGACGCCATGAAATTTGGAAACAACAGATTTTTCCCTTAAAATGATACATTCTCTCAGTTTAAACTTTTGATCTGTGATTTGTGTTCTATTCTGAACAAAATATTAGATGTTGGCACCTCCACATCATTGCATTCAGTTTTTATTCACAATTTGTTTAGTGTCCCAACTTTTTTGGAATCCGGTTTGTAAATAAATACATAAATAAATCATGAAATAAATAAAAGTAAATCTTGAAATAAATAAAAATAAATCTTAAAATAAATATAAATAAATTTTGAAATAAATAAAAATAAATCTTGACATAAATAAAAAATAACTCTTGGAAAAAAAACACCTAAACATTTCTGTTTAAATGTTTTCTCATGGGAACATTTATTCCATCCATCCATTATCTTTACCCGTTTATTCCATTTTGGGTCACGGGGGTCGCTGGTGCCCATGTCCAGCAATCACTGTGCGAGGGGCGAGGTACACCCTGGACGGGTCGCAAGTCCATCACAGGGCCACATAGAGACAAACGAGACAAACAACCATTCACTCTCTCACTCACACCTAGGGACAATTTAGAGTTACCAATCAGCCTAACATGCATGTTTTTGGTCTGCGGGAGGAAACCGGAGCACCCGGAGAAAACCCACGCATGCACGGAGAGAACATGCAAACTCCACCCAGAAAGGCCCCTGGACCGGGGTTTGAACCAAGGACCTGCTCGCTGAGAGGCAGCAGCTCTACCAGTTGCGCCACCGTGCTGCGGAACATTTATTTATTTAATGTAATATTTATTAATAATTTTTTAATAACACTATTCATTTATTTATTTAATTTTGAATGAAATGGCTCTCCACCCACCCAAAGCCAGAGGGCGGGGTGGCCAAGCTGGGCCTGCCAATTCAGTATTCGCCCACCCCCAACAAGACAGATTACGGTGTAAATAAATTGAACCTATGCAATGTATTGACTCAAGATAACCAACAGAGGGTGCTGTGGGCCGATTTTTTTATTTATTTATTTGCATGTCAGGTTTGTTCAGCAAAAGAGTGGAAATATTAAAAATGTTCAGTATTTTTTTAAAACATTTTCACCTCTCTTCAGGAGTTCATGTACAGTTACATTCAAGTTTCTGTTGTTAATGTGTTTCAAACACAATGATTAATGCTAGTTTCTAACATTTATACAAACATTGTTTATGTAAACTTGAGCACAATTTCTCAGCATTTTCTGGTGACTACATGTCACTGTTTAAGTTATTTGTTTCGTATTAATAAACAGCACATGGTTATTTCAGTTGCAAGGTTATGTAAACATTTATTTATGTATTTATACAAAATAAAATGACTATTTACTGGGCCCCCCAAAATATTCTTCAGCACCCCCCCACCCCCCAGCTAAATTCTTCTGGAGACGGGTCTGGCTCTCCATACCCCTGACTCGTCCACCCAACTTCACAATTAAAGCAGAACTGTCCCTTTAAAGTCGTTTTCATTATTGTGGCGTTTGGTACGTGTGTTCCTCCCATGCTGCAGCCATTATCACCGTGTGTTTGTGCTTCAGGTGAGGGCTGCCTCAACTGTCACCTCCTGGAGCAACCAAACTCCCACAGCCCTCCCCACTGCCCCCCCTCCTCCTCTGCAAGTAGGCAGCACCTCAGAGCAAAAGGTACACCGACTGTCCCTCCAAACTCAGCACACACTTCAAGTTTCACAAGCTGCTTTCATTTATTGGGTCTCACTTTCTGTTCTGTCTGTGGTGACCCCTCCCCTTCTGCAGCTACACCCCCACCACCCCATCCCTCTTCCTCTGTCTCCTGACACTGTGATGCATTCACTGTCCTTACTCAGTGTTTTGTCTTCATATCGTCATCATCAATGTTTTGTATTACGTCATTCTTTCCTACAAAATAAACATGTGCAGCTGAATTATTTTGGCGAAATTAATTTAAAACCAAAAACAAGCACATTTTCTGAAACGAAAATAAAAACAAATTGCAATCGTTTGGAATGTGTTGCTGTCTCCAAACTCAAAATTACCCTTTTTTTTTTTAAAGTATAATTTTTTCAGTTTTACCATTTGATATCTTTACTGTTTTCTGTTGGTGATAAAGTATAACTGTATGAGATTTATAAATCATTGCATTCTGTTTTTATTTACATTTTTACACATCACAGCTTTTTCTGAAGTGGGCTTGTAGCATTCAATCTGCCCTCATTTAGCTGCTGCACGCTTTGTTTTTAGAACTTGAAAGACACAAAATGAATCTCAATTTTCAGTTTTTTGTTTTTGTTTCATATTTGCATCCCTTCTTTTCCAGGTGGAAACTTCAAACTACAACGTGCCAGCATCCAGCTCAGCAGGAGCGGCCCTGCAGGCCCCTTCCACTCCTGCATACATGTACTCCCACCAGTACCAGCGTGAGTGTTTCAGCTCACAGTTCTGACAAAACACACAGATTTAGCTCATGAGGGACATTAAGTGGATGAACAATGGAAAAGTTCTAAAAAAGATAATGTGTAAATACAGTAGTCCCTCATTTATCGCCACAGGGGTTACATTCTGCCCCCCGCCCCTGCACGATAAGTCGGATCTGTGAAAAATTTACCAATTTGAAGGACTTGAACTTGAAGGATGAGAAATTTTTAAATTACATTTTTTAATTTAATTTAACCCCCGACCCCCATCACAGAAAATATATTAAGGCTTTAGAAACCCTTCCCACACTCTTGCAATGTTCTAAACTCTTAAACCTGTCATTTTAACAACATACATACAGTATATGTACACACAACAGCTACTGCAAAACTTTACAGTACGAGTACTCACCAGCTCTGCAGAAGCTCGGTTCTGTTCGGCTACCCTGCAGCATGACGAAGCCCACCGCCCCATCCAGCTTGATGTATGCACGTGCTGCTGCTCCAGGAGCAAGGCTGCTCAGGATTTAGTCCACCACCTCTGACCCGCTCCAGACCAGCACCGTGCGACCAGAACCAGGCTGAACCCCGCAGCCGTCTGTCCCCTGCAGCTCCCGGGCTCCGGGTCACACTGAGTCCAGATCAGCTGCAGCCCAGCTGCTCAACAGTGAAGATACAACTAGAAGGATGAGTTCAGCTCCAGAATTATTTGTGACCTTCCTGCCAGTCCTGTGAGCTGGTTTTTGACATTCAGGCCACACAAGGGTTAAAACAAAGTTAAACAGACCACTCACAGAAACACCTGTGCACAGGGCTGATGATTACCACAGGCTGATGATGTCACACCAGGGTGTGTACGAGCAGGTGTGCGTACTCACAGCCTGAGGTGTGGTGCTGGGTGGGCTCTTCCTCTCTTTCCTCTCCGATAACAAACAATATATCTCCCACTTCCTCATCAAAGTCTTGACTGTCTCACACTTAACGTTTTTCTTTTTCATCTCTGCCTTGTACAATAGAAATGTTGCATGTTGTAGAACTGTTTTGTTGCATGATGTCACAGACTTTCACTAACAGAACATCCTCTGTGACTCCCAGCCTGCCCCCAGGTCAACCAGTACTCACCTGGAGCTGGAGGAGCACCGATCTTCCAGCCTCTTCAGTACTCCTCTGTTGCTGCTCCTCCTCAGTCTCCTCCTGCAGTGCCTTCCTTAACTCCTCACCCTCCTGGTTTCCTCTCTCAGTACACCCAGCCTATCCCATACCAGCTGGTACCGCCTCACTATCCGGGACAGCCTCCCACCACCTTGTGCTCATCCTCTCCTCCATCACATCCTCCTTACTTTCCCTCGTCCTCCTCTTTTCCTGCTCCTCCATCCTCCGAAGGGTCTTTCCAGCATGGCGGTCCAGGATCTCCTGTGTCATACATGCCTCCTCCACCAGGCGGAGTCTCAGGTACATGTCAAGACCCTGATTCTGTGTTGACCCCTGCCACTAAGACAACAGGTCTGCATGGCTTTAATCATCATCTTCAGTTTCTCTGTCCTCTCAAACACTCAGCATGAAAGAGATTCAGGTGTATTTTCTTCACTCAGACTCAACACCCTGAAAGGTTTAGTAACTCATTATTCTGCAGTGAAGAAATGTCTTAAACGTCTTTTAAGCAGCTGCGCTCTGAAATCAGGAGAGTGCTAAAGCTATCATCTCACCAGGCTGCGACTAGCTGATGAATATTCACAAGGGAGTGAGAATGTCTTAAACGTTTGTGATGGTTCTCGACTTGCTCGCAGAGGCGTTCAGTCCTGTTGTTTGACTTTTGAACACGTTCATAAAATTTGTGGGGCAACTTTTTTCTTGAAATAGTTTCAGTGGTCGTGAGCGTCTCCAACCCATCTCAGGAGCACGAGAGCTGTGTGTTGACTCATGCACAAGATCTCTCCTCTGACAGAAAACAAGTCACTCTTGTGTGTATTTTCTACTAAAACTTAGCGTACACCTAAATCAATAAAATGACGTATACAGTAGTCCCTCATTTATCACAGGGGATCCGTACCCTGAAGCCCAACGATAAGTGAAAAACCGCTAAGTGGGAATAGTAGTAAGAGTAGTAAGTAGTGGTTTATTTTAGTATATATATATATATGTGTGTATATATGTATATATATATATATATAGGGCAGCACGGTGTCGCAACTTGTAGAGCTGCTGCCTCTCAGCGAGCAGGTCCTTGGTTCAAACTCCGGTCCAGGGGCCTTTCTGGGTGGAGTTTGCGTGTTTTCTCCGTGCATGCGTGGGTTTTCTCCGTGTACTCCGGTTTCCTCCCACAGTCCAAAAACATGCATGTTAGTCTGATTGGTAACTCTAAATTGTCCCTAGGTGTGAGTGAGAGAGTGAATGGTTGTTTGTCTCGTTTGTCTCTATGTGGCCCTGTGATGGACTTGCGACCCGTCCAGGGTGTACCCCGCCCCTCGCACAGTGATTGCTGGACATGGGCACCAGCGACCCCCGTGACCCAAAATGGAATAAGCGGGTAAAGAAAATGGATGGATGGATGGATGGATGGATGGATGGATGTATGTATGTATGTATGTATGTATGTATGTATGTATGTATGTATG